GCCAATCATGATGTCCACGAAGGGCACTCCAAATCTAGAGTCTTATTCGGCCCAAACGAGTCCTGCACGGATGGGGCTTCAGATTCGGAGGCTTTTTATCTTGGCCAATCGTGAGATCCACGAAGGGCGCTCCGAATTCAAAGTCTTATTCGGCCCAAACGAGTCCTGCCCGGATGGGGCTCCGAATTCAGAGGCTATCTTGGCCAATCGTGAGATCCACAAAGGGCGCTCCGAATCCGGAGTCTTATTCGGCCCAAACGAGTCCTGCTCGGATGGGGCTTTGAATTCAGAGGCTTTTTATCTTGGCCAATCGTGAGATCCATGAAGGGCGCTCCGAACTCGGAGTCCAATTCGGTCCAAACGAGTCCTGCTTGGATGGGGCTCTAAATTTGGAGGCTTTTTATCTTGGCCAATTGTGATGTCCACGAAGAGCGCTCCAAATCCAAAGTCTTATTCGGACCAAATAAGACCTGCTCAGATGGGGCTCCGAATTCGGAGGCTTTTTATCTTGGCCAATCGTGATGTCCACGAAGGGCGCTCCAAATCCAAAGTCTTATTCGGCCCAAACGAGACCTGCTCGGATGGGGCTCCGAATTCGGAGGCTTTTTATCTTGGCCAATCATGAGATCCACGAAGGACGCTCCGAACTCGGAGTCCTATTCGGCCCAAACGAGTCCTGCTCGGATGGGCTCTAAATTTGGAGCCTTTTTATCTTGGCCAATTGTGAAGTCCACGAAGAGCGCTCCAAATCCGAAGTCTTATTCGGCCCAAACAAGACCTGCTCAGATGGGGCTCCGAATTTGGAGGCTTTTTATCTTGGCCAATCGTGATGTCCACGAAGGGCGCTCCAAATCCGGAGTCTTATTCGGCCCAAACGAGACCTGCTTGGATGGGGCTCCGAATTCAGAGGCATTTTATCTTGGCCAATCGTGATGTCCACGAAGGGTGCTCCGAATTCGGAGTCTTATTCAGCCCAAATGAGACCTGTTCGGATGGGGCTTCGAATTTGGAGGCTTTTTATCTTGGCCAATCGTGATGTCCACGAAGGGCGCTCCGAATTCGGAGTCTTATTCGGCCCAAACGAGACCTGTTCGGATGGGGCTCCGAATTCGAAGGCTTTTTATCGTAGCCAATCGTGATGTCCAAGAAGAGCGCTCCGAATCTAGAGTCTTATTCGGCTCAAACGAGACCTGTTCGAATGGGGCTCCAAATTCGGAGGCTTTTAATCTTGGCCAATCGTGAGATCCACGAAGGGCGCTCCGAATCCGGAGTCTTATTCGGCCCAAACGAGTCCTGCTCGGATGGGGCTCCGAATTCGGAGGCGTTTTATCTTGGCCAATCGTGATGTCCACGAAGGGCGCTCCGAATCCGGAGTCTTATTCGGCCCAAATGAGACCTGCTCGGATAAGGCTCCGAATTCGGAGGCTTTTTATCTTGGCCAATCGTGAGATCCACGAAGGGCACTTCGAATCCGGAGGCTTAAACAGGAAGACTTTTGAACTGAATTTTGCAATAAGAAAATAGGAAACTTTGCATTGCAAAAGTGAGATATTTACATGGTGAAACATTCAAAGCAAGTATCATGCCCCACAGGTCAGGTTTAATGATAGAATTTACCCAAGGGCGTTGAATTCCGAGGTTGTGGCAGACTCCTCCCAGACATGTCTTTGAGCCGATATGCCCTTACTCCCGCGATTGAGTTGATGTGATAGGGGCCGTCCCAGTTAGGACCCAATTTTCCATCGGCCGGATTCCTGGAAGCCGGGAGCACTTTCTTCAGGACCAACTCTTCTCCTGTATAGCGGCGTAGCTAAACACGTTAATTGTATGACTTACCAAGCTGCTGCTGGTACCGTGCCATGGATGCGAGGGCACGGTCTCTTCGTTCTTCAATCAGAGTCGAATCCAAGGCCAGCATCATGTCATTTCGACCCATATCAAAAAAATTTGATTTCAAGGTTGGGAGGCCGATCTCCAAGCGGATAATTGCCTGTGTTCCGAAGCACAAAGCGAACGGCATCTCCCCAATGGATCACCTCGGAGTAGTGCGATGAGCCCATAACACACTCGACAATTCTTCAACCCATCTGCCTTTAGCTTTCTCCAGCCTCTTCTTGATGCCGTTCAAAATAGATTTGTTGGAGGCTTCAGCTTGGCTATTACTCTGTGGATAAGCCGGGGTGGAGAAATAGGGTCGAATACTGTACTTGCTACACAGTTCTCGATAGACACCGCAATCGAACTGGGTGCCGTTGTCTGAAATGAGTTAATGGCGGAGGCTAGGCGAATCTCGTTATGATATTTCTCCATACAAAACGCTTCACATTAGAATCTCGAATGTGCGTTAGTACCTTCGCTTCCACCCATTTTGTGAAATAATTTGTTGCTATAATAAAAAATCGTTTATTACCCGGGGAGCGAGGCAATGGTCCAACGATGTCAATTTCCCATTGGATGAACGGCCAAGGACTGGTTATAGAGCTCAACTCTTCAGCAGGCAGATGGATTAAGGGAGAAAACTTCTGGCACTGTTCACATTTTTTCACGTAACATTCGGCATCAGCTCTCATTGTCGGCCAATAATACCCCTGTGTCACAACTCAATGGGCCAAAGAACACCCGCCAGAATGGGCACCACAGCTACCTTCATGTATTTCGGTCAGGAGTTCTTCGAATTTATCCAGATGAACACATTCTAGGTACGGGCCGGATAGGGATTTTTTGTAAAGCTTTCCTTGCGGATCCAAATAATATCGTAGGGCTTTGTTTCGCAGCTTGTGTGCTTCTTTCTTATCCGACGGGAGCTGTTCGGAAGATAGGAATGCAACAATGGAGTCCATCCAACTCAGACTTGACTCTATGACATTCATCTGGACTTCTTCTGAAGGGCCAATGCTCAGATTTGGGATGAAACCCACTTCAATTGTCCGTTTAATCTCTGAGTTAATGGCGGAGGCTAGGCAAGCTAGGGCGTCTACATGGGTGTTCTGATCATGGGCTATTTGGTTCAATTCATGATGGTCAAATTTTTCCAGCAAGGCAATTGTCGTTTTCATGTAAGCGGCCATACGGTCGTTTTTGGCCGCGTACTCTCCCTTTAGCTGATTGATCACCAGTTTTGAATCGCAAAATATAAGTAGACGCCGAGCACCCAGGAGATGTGCATTTTGCAAGCCGGTTAGCAAGGCTTCGTATTCGGCTTCATTGTTCGATGTTTCGAAGCCGAGTTTGATAGCCTACTCGATTATTGCTTCGTCGGGAGCCATGATTACTACTCTAGCCCCACTGCCGTGTTGATTGGACGATCCATCACAGTACAACTGCCAAATGTCCCTAACATAAATTCTCCAGTTCAGCCTAGGTTGTGTTTCATCAGACTTGAAGTCGGCAAGACCCCCAGTGAATTCGGCCACAAAGTCGGCAAGCACCTACCCCTTGATTGAGGTTCTAGGCAGAAACTGAATATCATACTGGCCGAGTTCGAAAGCCCACTTTGAAATACGCCATGATGCTTCTGTACTACGAAGTACTGACCGAAGGGGGTGGTCCGTTAGTACGCCGATGGTATATCCCTGAAAGTAATGCATCAGCTTTCTTGTTGCCGTGACGAGGGCTAGGATGAGTTTTTCCAACGGTAGGTAACGTGTTTCGGCGTCAACCATTGCCTTGCTCACATAATACACTGGCCGCTGCTCCCCAAGCTCTTCCTTTAACAGTACGGCTCTGACTGCCCGGTCAGAAACTGCCAGATATAAAATGAGCGGATCACCTACTAAAGGTGTTGTCAAGAGTGGAATTGATCGGAGGTAAGTCTTCAAACCGTTGAAAGCGGTTTCGCACTTAGAGGTCCATTGAAAAGCCTTGCCCTGCCGTAGGGTATGAAAGAAATGTCGACAGCGATCTGTGGAATGACTGATGAACCTGTTGAGTGTGGCGGCCATCCCCATCAACTTTTGAACCTCCTTCACCGATCGAGGGGAGCCGAGCTCCAAGATTGCTATGATTTGCCGCGGGTTGGCTTCGATTCCTCGATGATTGACAATGTAGCCAAGGAATTTGTCGGATTCGATCCCAAATGCACACTTAGCAACGTTCAACTTCATTTTGTACTTGCGTAAAATGTCGAATGTCTCTTCCAGATCGGCCAGATAAGTTTGTTCTTCTTTTGACTTGACCACCATATCGTCAATGTACACTTTCATAGTACGGCTGAGTTGCTTCTTGAACATAACAATGACTAGTCTTTGGTAAGTTGCCCCTACATTCTTCAACCCAAAAGGCATAACTTTATAGCAATAGGTTCCTCTTGGGGTGAGGAATGCAGTTTTGTCTTGGTCCTTAGGATGCATGGCGATTTGATGGTAGCCTCTGTAGCCATCGAGGAAGCTCAGACGTTGATGACGTGCTGTGGCGTCTATGAGTTGATCAATTCTGGGGAGAGGAAAACGATCCTTGGGGCAAGCTTTATTTAAATCTGTGAAGTCCACACAGATACGCCAAGTCCCATTTTTTTTCTTTACCACCACAGTATTCGACATCCATGTAGGATAGGTCACTTCCCGGATTGCCCCGGCATCAAACAACCGGTAAACTTCTTCAACAACGACAGCAGTGTGTTCTGCGGCTGACCACCGACTTCTCTGAATGATCGGCTTACATTTGGGGTCAACATTTAGACGGTGCTCAGAAACAAAGGGATCTACCCCGGCATCTCATACGGCGACCATGCGAATACATCAAGGTTATTGAGCAAGAAGGTAATTAGTTGCTACTTGTTAGTTTTATTCAAGGAGGCGCCGACCATGAAGAACCTATCGAGATCCCCATCAATTTCAACTCAGTTTAGGGTCCTCTTCGCCTGAACCATTTTGCCTTCGTTTATGGCGTGCATGCGGACTCTCTTCAGAGGAACTGGTGGTTTTAACTCATCCCCTCCTTTTGGGTTCTGGGGATAATGAGTCAGAATCACTGTCACTTTCTTGTCTTCGAACTCGAGGTTGTTGACCATCTTCTCTTAGAGGTCGTCTGGGATCTGGGCGTGCAGCTTGCTTGGATTTTGCCACTTCCAAGGCCAAATCCTGACGGAGGCACTCATTCTCAGCGATCATGTTTTCCATCCTCTGTTCATTGTGCTTCGCCTGTTGCATGATCGCTTGCATTGTCTCATATGCTGAAGTCGAGGGTGAGTTCTGGGCAAGTGAGTCGAAGTTCAAGGCATGTCTTGCGGCGATAGTCTCCGGTCCCAGCATGTTTGTTGGAGTGAGGTCATCTCTCTGTGTGGTTTTGTCAGTGACTATTGGAGGATCTTCCATTACGCCCGCCATGGATGTAGTTGAGTATTCCCACAGACGGCGCCAATTGTGGTGATAGTGGTTTGGAAATGCTCTTTGGATCTCGTGGGACGCTCGTGATCCTCAACTAGCCACCTGAAAAGGAATGAACGGTCGGCGGTGCCGAAATTAGCACTCCAACGGACAAGTTAGTATATACTCTCTTAGTAGCTTGGATTTTAAGTTAAGCGCACTAGTTCTCACATACCTCTCTTTGGCTGATGTTCCTCTATTTATATTTTTCCCTAGGCCTCAGAGTTGGGCCCACCTTTAGTCCAGCGTGCAGCTATTTAGACTTGGCTCTTTCTGTTGCTGTCCAACCTCTACTTGGCTCCTTGCTCAGTTGGTTCTATGGCGGATTAGGATACCCCTGAATTTATATACGACGGGGCCGAATAGAGATATGTACATCTCGATTCTCCAAGAATATTATTCGGCTTCTTTATATCTCTTAATACTCGGCTCCCACAAGCTCCAACAACTGAATGGAAAGGTAAAGGGTCTGGATTCAATTCCAAGAAAGGCCAATCATTTCCAAAAAAGCAGAATACAGGATCCTCTAGCAGCTCCAGCTAAAGTAATGGCTCTACTCTAAACTGTTTTGATTGCGGAAGGAAACATAAAGGCCCAGATCACCATGCCTCCGGTGCGTGTTTTCGGTGTGGCAAGACCAACCACATGATTCGACATTGTCCATTGAGGTTTGAGAATGCTACCCGCCCTGGAACTAAAACACCGAATTAGAGGTTTGAGATTCGACATGTTAGAGGTAATACTGGAACTAAAACACTCAGACAAGGGAGAGTGTTTGCATTAGTGCCTAGAGATGTGCAAAACACCGAATTTCTGGTGTCAGGTATAATCACTATCTGTACTCAGAATGTCTATGTGTTAATAGATTCTAGCTCCACGCATTCATTTGTTTCACATGCTATTTCTCGGAAATTAACTAGACTAGTAGAGCTTATGAACTGTTTACTATCTGTATCTACACCATCTAGAGGTTCTATGATATGTGCTTATGTATATCCAACCTGTGATATTGTGATTGGTGACGTGACATTGTATGTTAATTTATTACCCTTGGGGATTGATCATTTTGACTGCATATTGGGTATGGATTGGTTGACAAAGTATTGTACAACTATTTGTGTGAATAAGTCTGTTACAATTCGTCCATCTGGTATACCTGAGTTTATTTTTACTAGAACTAGAGTGGTCCCTCCACCGTACTTGATTTTGTAATAACCCGACCCTTTTATATGCTTTATATCCCTAGATCTTTGAAAAATTACATGCTTAATGTGAAATTCCATGCAAAGTTATGCTTACATGTGTGAATTTTTTGATCATGATTTCCTATCTGTTGATTATTGGCACACATCTGTTAAAATTAAAATGTTAAATTGGACATTTAAAGCCGTAGAGGCATACTAAACTGAAATTGATTATGTGAACATGCTAGTGGGAATTTTTAAAGATACTTGGGAGGTTTAATTGAAAATTTATTTTGTTTGATTCGCTAGGGCTCGTTTGGCAAGTCTAGAATTGAAGGCTTATTATGTGTTATATAAACCCCTCTTTGACCTCATCTCTTTATATAAAAATTTATGTTGAGTGGAAAATCTTGAGAACCTTGAAGAAGAGAGAAAGAAAAGGGAGAGAAGAAGAGTCAATAAGATTTGGGAGATTGAAGAACTTGCTAGGAACAATTGAAGAATCCAACTCAAGATGAGTGTAGATCATTAGTTAAACTTTCAATTCATCTTCAATTAGTTGGAATTAAGTTTTGACTTGAAGTATTCTTTCTCCATGTAAGCTAGGGTTATGATTGAGCATAATTGAATCTCATAAATGACCATGTATCTTTTAAATATGTGTGATGGGAAACTTAGTCACTTGATTTCTCTATGTTTTTGCCTAAATTCACTCTTTTGTATGTTTGAACTCACCTAAATGGGAAGCTAGACATTGTACATGTACATTTACATAGTGTGGGAGAGGGAATTATGGAACTATTGAGGTGTAATTGCCAAAGGGCTAGAATTTCATGTTTATATATTTCTATGCTATGTTTTTAGTGTAAAACTACCTTGATTTTGGCTTGGTGAATACCTCTTGTGAATTTGGAATTGTTGAGATTTCGGGCAGAAAAACAGAGCAAACGAGTGCACGTACGGGGCCCTTGGCCACACGTATGGGAGGCACAGCCGCACGTGCGGAAATCAAGGGAGTAAGTTGGGAGTATTCTGCTAAAAAGGCACATGCAGCCCGTACGTGCGGCGGGGACTTCCGCACGTGCCGCCCAAGCCAGGAAATTCTATAATCTTCTTGGTCTGTTTAAGCCTCCAGATGTGTCTACATGTCCGTTTGATATTCTTTAATACGTTTAATTATTCGCAACTTATTGAGGAATAAAAGAAAACTAAGGAAAAGCAATATATTTGATGTACTAATGAGGTGTGTGTTATGTGTAGGGCATCTACAAGAGGGGACCATCGATCACTCGTATCACTGTGAGTGATAGTAGCGTAATATCATGCTTTAGTCACATTTTGTGTTGGTATATCATTTGAGATCTTATGGACTCTTGTGAGTACCTTATGTTATAAGTGATATGTTTGATATACGACACATGGACCCGAGGTCGTTCTATTGCTAATGTGATGGGCCTAAGGCCATTTTGCTAATATGATGGGCCTAAGGCCGTTTTGCTACTATGATGGGCCTAAGGCCGTTCTGTAATGTGATGGGCCCAAGGCCGTTCTGTATTATGATGGGCCTAAGGCCGTTTTGGATTCTATTGGGCCTGAGGCCGTTTTGTTTTACATGGGCCCGAGGCCTTTCTGAAAAAGGAAAAACGAGTGGGATTATGATTGGTGAATATGTGTTGTTATGTTCGTTATTTTTATTTTGTACTACTATCATTCACTGAGCCCTGCTCACTCTATTTTCCAGAATGTTTTGTAGGTAGCCAACTTGCGGGTCAACCCAAGAGCCCGTAGCTGAACCCGTTTCATTGAGTCATCCAGAGTGACCCTTTGTTATATTTTGGAAACCCCTATGGAGGAACGTTTGGTTATAATTTTGGGAACGACGAATATGTATATAAGTATTGTTAAGACTTAACTTACAAGATGACTCCTTTTTGCTTTCAGTAATGTGTATCATTCATGGAATGTTATGTATGTACAGTAATGCATCTTAATCCTGGCTCTTAGACACAGCTCAATGAATGTTTGTTTTCTCATTAGTTCTCTCATTATCTAGCTTTCGTTCAGGCCCCGAGATTGAGTAACGTATTAAGTAACTAAGTTAAGGCCATAATTTAGGCCGGTCATGTCCAAACTTTCAGGGACAGGTTTGGGTCGTGACAGATTTCATTTATGAAAGCCAAGAGATTGTTAAGAAAAGGTTGTCAGGGCTACTTGTGTTGTGTGTTGACTGTGTCTTCGAATAGTACTAGTATGGAAACGATTCCTGTGGTCTGTGAATTTCCTAATATATTTCCTAATGACCTACCTGGGGAGTTAACTGATAGGGAAATTGAGTTCACCATTGATGTTGTACCCGGGACACAACCAATTTCTAAGACTCCTTATAGAATGTCTACTTCTGAATTAAAAGAATTGAAAACTTAACTTTAGGAATTACTAGATAAGAAATTTATTCGACCGAGCACTTCACCTTGGGGTGCTCCAATCCTATTTGTCAAAAATAAATATGGATCTTTGAGATTGTGTATTGACTACCGTGATTTGAACAAAGTAACCGTGAAGAATAAATAGCCATTACCCCCAATAGATGACTTGTTTGACCAACTTCAGGGAGCACAAGTGTTCTCCAAGATAGACCTTAGATCCGAATATCACCAGTTAAAGGTCAAAGCAGAAGATGTTGAGAAAATGACATTTAGAACTAGATATGGGCATTATGAATTTTTGGTTATGTCATTTGGAGTAACAAATGCACCCGCAGCTTTTATGGATCTAATGAACAGGGTTTTCAAACAATTCTTTGATGAATTCATCGTTGTTTTTATTGATGATATACTGATTTATTCCAAAAGTAGGGAGGAACATGAAAATCATCTGAGAATTGCCTTACAGACTCTGAGAGAAAATAAATTGTATACAAAATTGTCCAAATGTAAATTCTGGCTTGACAATGTAACATTTTTGGGGCATGTAATCAACAAGGATGGTATCTCTGTTAACCTACAGAAAATTGAAGCTATTGTGGACTAGCCTAGACCGACAAATGTATCAGAAGTTAGAAGTTTTCTAGGACTTGCAAATTACTACAAACGATTTGTGAAAAACTTTTCAAAACTCGCTATACCGTTGACCTAGTTGATCCAGAAAAATATATCATTTGACTGGAACAATCAAAGAGAGTCTGCCTTACAAGAGTTGAAGACTAGGTCAGTGACTGCACCGATTTTGACTTTGCCTAATGGTACTGATGGGTTTCAGATTTACAATGATGTCTCCTACAAAGGCTTGGGTTATGTGTTAATGCAGAATGGGAAAGTAATTGCTTATGCCTCTCGACAACTCCCTCCTCATGAAAAGAACTATTCGACTTATGATCTCGAATTGACAGGCTGCAGCTTGACTTTCCGCGCTCCTTTCGGAAGGCAAATAGGCCTACAATTCGGACTCCACTTGTTGTTTTGAATCTGATTTCACAAGTGCAATGTGAAACAGTGAAAACACAAAAAGAGTCCAAATCTGGCAATTCTTTTTAAAAAAATTGATATTTGAATCAAATGCCAAAAATAGACTGCTTTGCTAGATTTTAGCGTCACCACCCAAATATTTTTGGAAAATTTAGGACACCCAAGACTCATGCCAAAGGTCGTTAGTCCGTCATCACCAACGTGTCCGGCTCGGGAACTTAGGTACAAGAGGGAAAAGTCATGAATTGAGCACCCAACTAGCCCAATCAAATATCAACCTCTACTAATCATGATGTGTTTCTTATTTACATTATATGTTGTTGTTCTAATTTATTTCCTCTTGTTTACTATGTGACACTCATACAAATGTAGACTAGTTTGCAGAAATTGAAACATTTGATCTCATGTTTTGTTTTGAAATTGTTTTGTGAATTTGCCACTTGAAAAAGTGGGCTAAAATGGATATTTAATCAAATCATCCCAGTTTAAGCATCTAGCCTTTATCCACAGGCATTCAAACAATTATATCATTTAAGCACTTAGCCTCATGGTATTCATGCTTTGGACATGGCAACACAAACACTCTGTGCGATATGCTAAAGCGAGTAAAGGCTTACCTAATACTCCACGCCAAACAACAAGCTAATTAGAAAACATGCATGTCCCTAATCAATGCACCATGACTAATGTAATACATGCGATATGCAACTAATAGGCTCGGCTACTAATTTATGACATGTGAATCAATTTGTTAACATGCGGTCTAAGTACGTATTCAAAGAATTATTTAAATGACAATGCAAATTTGAATGATGAACTAAGTCTCGGTGCACGCAATACAAGTGGATGCAATGCATGAGAATGCTAATGAAACATGATGCCCTATACTAACCATCATAAGCGAATAAATAAAATGGAGAAAGACATGGGATTGAAAGACATACACATTATTACAACGTTTGATCCCTCACGTAGGAGGGCGCGAATCAATGTTCGAAAGTCTGAATTAAACTAACTATTCCAAAACTGAATGACTGAATAAAATATGCTAAGCTAATTAACTAGGTAATTAGGCTATCTATGCTATTACAATGGACAACCAAGATTATTACAATAATTATTGACGTGTATAAGCCCATAAAGGCCATGAATCATTATGAACAACCTAAGCCCATCACTTGGAGCCCAATACATAACCCAGCTGGTGAGGTCCAGGATAGCTAGAATCCAACATGGCATAAAGAGCCAATGACATTCTGACACATGGCAGGTGAAGGACGAGCCACATCAGCAGACAAAGATCTGCAAAGTTATTGCCACTGCACATTACCATTAATGCAGCCCATCACAGTATTTATTACGACAACACCTCTCCATCGGAACAGGACCCCCTTACCCTACACAAGGTAAGCTACAGCATAGACTTTCGGTGAGGAGGTTAGGTCGGAAGAGACAGCGAAATGAATACCAAAGGATATAAGCAAACGTTGAAGACAAGAAGAAGGTTAAGCTTTTATATCTCTAATCTCTCCCTCTACACTCTACTTCTCTTCTTAACTTGCTCGGCGGAGGGTTCACTGGGGGACTACCCCGTTCCCCGTTGAACTTGTTTGCAGATTATCCGGTGGGCTTGATCATTTGGACCTGGGCTTAAGGAGCTTGGACCAGTCCGATCCATTCACTGGGACAAACTGCATCATCAGTTGGCGCCGTCTGTGGGAAGTGGTTCTTATCCGGACGCCAGTTGTGCTCATTGTCGCCGGAGGCCCTGTCCTAACAACCTTTTCCTCCTACCCATCCAAGTGTATGGTCACGACTAGATCCATGGCTTCTCACCATAATGTTGCCGACCATCAAACCGACCCTCCCAATCCAAACAACCCACCACAGTATATCATTGAGCTTACCGACAGCATTAACCGCATGGCTAAACAAAACCAGGCCCTGATAAATGCTTTACTCCAAAGAAACCTTCCGATGCCTCCTCCACCACCTCCAGATATTCCACCCAACCAAGAAAGAGCCCCGAGCTATACTGTTCCTCAATCCTATCCACCCAACTTGGAAGGTTTGCAACCTCCTCCCCAGAATATAAATATACCACCTCCACCCCCACACCCTTCGGTCGTGGCACCAGCCCCTGAAGAGGAAGCCAGCAGCGTCCAACCCTCATTAGCTGACCATGGTGACCACATTCCCCTCTGGGACGCTGAAATCCGAGCAATGAAGCTCCAACTCCAAGAGGTCATGTAGAACATTCAGCATAAACCCTCTACCACGGCAAGCTCACCATTTGTTGCCTCTATCCAGGACAAACCTCTGCTCGCTAAGTTCAAGATGCCCACCATTGACTCTTTTGACGGTACGACGGACCCAGTCGATCATCTGGAGACCTACCATACCCTTATGATCCTCCATGCCTTCCCTGACGAGATCATGTGTTGGGCTTTCCCCATGACACTGAAGGGGTCAGCTCGACTGTGGTTCAACCAGTTACCAGCAGACTCTGTCTCTACTTTCCAGCATCTCAGCGACTCCTTCCTTAGCCATTTCATTGGAGCCCAGCGCCAATGCCGCCCTGCAACCCAACTCCTTAACATCCGTCAGACCGAGGGGGAGTCGCTGCGCAGTTTCGTTACCCGCTTCAACACCGAAGCCTTACAAGTAGCGAAAAACGATGACAAGGTCATCATCACGGCTTTCATGGCCGCGCTACGATCGTCCGATTTCCTCTTCTCCCTCTCCAAAAATCCCCCGACCTCCATAGCAGCCCTACTCTCGAAAGCCCAGAAATACATGAATGCTGAAGATTCACTAGCCGCTCGGCAGGATCCAATACCTAAAACCCGACCCCCAGAGAAAAGATAAAAGACTCAGAACCCAGAAACACCCAGTATAACAGCCAAACACCCCACTATACCGACCGACCTTCTCGCGCTGACCGGTCGGCACCAGCCCGACTGCCCGGTCGGTTCGAGTGGTACACGCCCCTTAATTCTCCTATGGAACAAGTCCTCCACCAGATCCAACAGGACTACCCCCTCAATTGGCCCCTACCCTCACGGATCCCTTCTAATAAGAAAAATCAGTCGAAATATTGTCGTTTCCACCAGGACCATGGCCATAACACTAATGACTGCATCAACCTCAAGGATCAGGTCGAGACCCTAATTCGTCAAGGGCGTCTCAGCCGATTCACAGACACCCGCCCACAGCAGAGGCAAAAAATCGAGCCCCTCAAAAACAACCGCCGGCGTACCCCACCTCGGCAGCCAGCCCAACCTAACCAAGGCCATGATCGCCCCCCACAACAGCCTCGGCCGTCAGGTAATCCCCCTCTGCCAGTTGGTGAAATCCGAGTCATTTCAGGTGGCCTTGCTTGTGGCGGACCATCCCGCTCCGCTCAGAAGGCAGAACTCAAGAAGATAAGGCAAGGCTCAGACAGAGCAGTTGCCACAGTAGACTGACCCTCTAAATAGCCCAAGCAGTGGACAGAGCCCATCACCTTCACGGACGCCGACTGTACAGGCATCCGTTATTCTCATGATGACCCTCTCGTCATTTCTGCCCTCATCTCCAACTATAAGGTCAGACGGGTTCTCATCGACAACGGCAGTTCTTCAGACATCATATTCCTCAACTGCTTTCGCCAGCTCAAGATTGGGGAGGAAAGTCTGTCTCCCCTCCACACCCCTTTGGTCGGTTTCACTGGTGACTGGGTCACCTCCATCGGCTCCATCGATCTCCCCCTCACCATCGGCGAATACCCACAGCAGACTACCAAGTTGGTCACTTTTCTTGTGGTTGACTGTCGAATACCCACAGCAGACTACCAAGTTGGTCACTTTTCTTGTGGTTGACTGTCCCTCTGCCTACAACATCATCCTTGGCCGCACCGCCCTCAACGCTTTCCAAGCTATCACTTCAACCTACCACCTCGCCATAAAGTTCCCTACCGACCTGGGCGTCGGGACAGTAAAGGGAGAGCAGACTGTAGCCAAGGAATGTTATGTTGCCTCACTCAAGGAAGTCAAACTGAAGGAGGCCATGATCATTGAAAGACTTGACGTCTGAGATGAGGACGAGCTGGTTAGAGGAGAACCGGTAGAGGAGCTCGTTGAGGTTCCCATCGATCCCACCAACCCCATGAAGACTGCCAAGATCGGCAGCCAACTATCCCCCCAAGCCAAGGCCGACCTTACCGCCCTTCTGATCGAGCACAATGATGTATTTGCCTGGATTGATCGAGCATAATGATGTATTTGCCTAGACCCATTCAGACATGCTGGGCATTGACCCCTCTTTCATAACTCACCGCCTCAGCATCGAACCCCATTTCCGACCTTACCGCTAGAAGCAGTACATCTACCATCCAGAGTGCAATACACTTATAGCCGCAGAGGTTGACAAGCTCCTTGAGGCCCAATTCATCAAAAACGTGGATTACCCTAAATGGTTGTCAAACGTGGTCCTAGTCCGCAAGAACAATGGAAAATGGCAACTCTGTGTCAATTACTCTGACCTAAACTGAGCTTGTCCCAAAGATAGCTATCCTCTTCCCTGCATAGATCTGCTGGTCGATGCCACGGCCAGTCATCAAATGCTCAGCTTCATGGATACTTTCTCTTGGTACAACCAAATCCTGATGCACCCATCCGATCGGGAACATACATCCTTCATTACCGACCGAGGTACCTACCACTACCGCATGATGCCATTCGGACTGAAGAATGCTGGGGCCACCTACCAACGGTTGGTCAATGCCATTTTCCATCATCAGATAGGTCGGAATATGGAAGTATATGTTGACGACATGCTAGTCAAGAGCAAACTCTCTATTGATCATCCGTCCGACCTGCGAGAGACCTTTGCCACCCTGCGCAAGTACCAAATGAAACTCAACCCAAAGAAGTGCGCCGTCGGCGTAGGATCTGGGAAGTTTTTGGGTTTTATGGTCAGTCAGCGGGGCATTGAAGCTAACGCTGAACAGATCAAGGCCTTGATTGAGATGCAGTCACCCAGAACGGTTAAGAATGTTCAAAGGCTCACTGGCCGAGTTGCGGCCCTCAACCGCTTCATTTCCCGCGCAACAGATAAGTGCCTACCATTCTTCAAAGTTCTTCGGCAAACTTTTGAATGGACAACTGAATCTGAAGAAGCTTTTCAGCAGTTGAAGCAGTTCATGGCAAATCCCCCCCTCCTTTCACAAGCAATTACGGGCGAGCCCCTCTTCCTCTATTTAGCCGTCTCAAGCACCGCAGTCAGTGCAGCTCTTATCAGGGAAAACGACTCTGTCCAACGGCCGGTCTACTACATCAGTCGGGCTCTTAGGGGAGCAGAACAGAATTACCCGCTATTAGAAAAATTGTCCTTGGCCTTGGTCACTGCCTCCAGACGGCTTCGTCTTTACTTCCAGGCCCATTCCATAGTGGTTCTCACCGACCAACCCTTGAAGAAATTCGTGCAATAATCAGAACTTTCCGACAGACTCATGCAATGGTCAGTGGAACTCAGTCAGTTTGACATCTCCTACAGGCCTTGAATAGCAATTAAGGGACAGACTGTCGCGGATTTCATCTTGGAATTCACTAATCCTACCCCAACCGCTATGCCCCCACCCCCACCAACCCCTACCGAGCTAGAAGACCCACATTCATGGACCCTCAATGTCGACGAATCATCCTGCAGGGAAGGTAGTGGGGCTGGCCTCATTCTTACTGCCCCTGAGGGTGGCTATTTCAAATGTGCTCTCTGTTTCTTGTTTAATGATAGTAACAATGAGGCCGAATATGAGGCATTAATAGCAGGACTCTGCTTCGCCAAGGACATTGGAGTCAGCCACATCCGGGTGTTCAGCGACTCCCAGCTCATCGTCGGCCAGATTACGAGGGAATTCGATGCCAAGGAGGACACAATACGGGCTTACAGGGATATGGCCCTCCCCCTTGTTCGCCTCTTCAATACCTTCCACATCAAGCACATACCTCGGGCGGAAAACTCCAAGGCAGATGAGATGGCTCAGTTGGCCTCTGTAGACCATTCCGACCTCAGCCACAGTGTCCGCCTAGAATACCTAGCCCACCCGGCCTCTCACCCGACTTACAAGAAGTGCAGTTCCTCCAAAACGAACCTATCCCTTGGGCATCCGATATTTTCCTATTTTTGACAACGGGGGAACTCCCAGATGACCAACAGTAGGTCGCCAAAGTCAGGGCCCGGTCGTCCAATTACATCCTGGTTAGTGGCGTCTTGTACAAACGTGGTTTTTCACGCCCATACCTGCGATGCCTCAATTCGACTCAAGCAACCTATGTAATGCGGGAAGTCCATGAGGGAATTTATAGTAATCATTCGGGCGGCAAGTCTCTGGCCCACAAAATACTCCATACTGGTTATTTCTGGGCAACTCTCAATCAAGATGCGACTGATTTCGTGCTCAAATGTGAAAAGTGTCAACGTTTTACCAGCATCCCCTATGCTCCTCCTACAGAGTTGATCACACTTTGCAGCCCTTATCCGTTCGCCAAATGGGGGATCGACTTGGTCGGTCCACTTCCCACCGACCGAGGTCAGACCAAGTTCGCGATCGTCGCCATTGATTACTTCACCAAGTGGGTAGAGGCAAAACCCCTTGCCACCATTACCGAGCGGGACACAACCAAGTTCATCTGGCAGTCGATCGTTTGCAAATTTGGTATCCCTTAGGCCATCGTCTCTGACAACGGCAAACAATTTAACAACGCCAAGTACAGGAAGTTCTGTGCCGACCTCCAGATTCAACCATGTTTCTCTTCCCCTGGTCATCCCCAGGCCAATGGCCAAGTTGAGGTCACCAACCGTTCTCTCCTGAAGATTATCAAAACTAAGCTCGAAGCTGCTAAGGGACTTTGTGCTGAGGAACTACCGAAGGTACTCTGGGCTTACCGAACTATAGCTCGAACTACCACTGGGGAAACCCCTTTCCACTTAACATATGGCGCTGAGGTGGTTATTCTAGTAGAAGTCGGTCTGCCTACTCCCAGGGTTTTACATCCGAATCCAGCACTGACCGAAGAGCTCCGTCGGGTAAACCTGGACCTAATTGAAGAACTCAGAGAGACCACCGCTGTCAGACTGGCCTCATACCAACAGAAAATGAGAACACACTACAACCGCAAAGTCCGACCAAGGGAGTTCGCTGTAGGGGACCTTGTCTTGAGAGAAGCAACTCTTGCCACCAAGAATCCGACTGAGGGTAAACTGGCAGCCAAATAGGAGGGACCTTACATTGTGAAAGCCCGACCACATCCGGGCACCTACCGACTTCAGGACATGGAAGGTCGAGACCTCCCCCACCCATGGAACACCGAACACCTGAAACGTTACTTTTTATAATCTCCTACTTTTGTATCACTCAGTTATTGCATTTTTTTTTCGGCAAATTTACACGTTCTTGATATCCCCTTACGCAATGTAACTTTTTGATTAACTGGGTTACACTTTCCCTGCCAACAATTATATATCTCAGTTATTTGTATGGTGTCTCGATGGCATTTTGATTGCAGCACTCATGAAAAGCCTCAGCCAGACAGAGCATCATAAAGCCTCAGCCAGACTGAGCATTAAAAAGCTTCGTCCAGACCGAGCATCATAAAGCCTCAGCCAGACTAAGCATTAAAAAGCTTCGTCCAGACCGAGCATCAAAAGGCCTCAGCCAGACGGAGCATCATAAAGCCTCAGCCAGACTGAGCACTAAAAAGCCTCAGCCAGACTGAGCATCGAAAAGCCTCAGCCAGACTAAGCATCATAAAGCCTCAACCAGACTAAGCATGAAAAAGCCTCAGCCAGATTGAGCATCATAAAGCCTTAGCCAAACTGAGCATCAAAAAGCCTCAACCAGACCGAGCACGAAAAGCCTCAGCCAAACTGAGCACTAAAAGCCTCACCCAGACTGAGCATGAAGCACTCGGCCAGACCAAGCCTCAGCCAGCCTAAGCATAACAAGTCTCAGCCGGACCGAGCGCCACAATTTCAGGTTCAGACTGAGTTCCTTACAACGTCAGTGAATCATAGCTTAGCCCCAACTGAGCACGCGTGTAGGGCTCGGTCAAAGCCATCTATGCAAACTCCATGCTTATGGAATTAGTAGACACACTTAGTCACAATTCCAGGTCCAAGTCTTTACACCACTCTTTGCTTAGCCAAATTCCAAAGACGTTCTTACACGTTTTCTTTACAAGTCAGGTTATTTTCTTCTCAATCAAACCCTTACAAGTCAGCCTGTTTCCTTACAAGCCAAGCCTCACTCCAATAAACCACTAACCTACTTCAGCAGTGTGGTAAACACAAACTTATAATTCTACTACATTTTAAATTTCACTCTGCATTGAGGAGTTCCTAACTTTACCCTGCATTGAGTTTTTATTACAACTTCAATTTCACTCTACACTAAGGAGTTCTTAAATTTATTTCTTATTACAAGTTTAACTCCATTTTGCACTTCACAATGAGTTATACACCCGCTTCGC